CCCACATGGACCTGTCTCAAAAGACGCAGCTCGCTCAATTGCCCATGTGGCTGACTCGACCGAGGCATGCTGTGCTGTTTCACACCCTCATCCCTTGGGATCCAGCTGCAGAGCAACCTGAACAAGCTCCAGCTCCGAACCGTAGGGTCGCGACCGGTGCGTGGTGTTGAAGGTGGGTTCCCGGCCGGGGCATCGGTCTGCCCGCCAACGAGATCGGAAGCATTCACGATCCGGATCTTTCTGCGATCCTTTTGGTCAATTGTCGTCGCTCTCGCCGCTGCACGGAAACTGAGCATGTAATCATGACATTCTTGCGGACTGTAAGATGTTGACGCGTTCTAAGGCTGTACCGGGATTTTGACAGCCGAACACTGCGCCGCGTCTAGACGGCCGATGATGGGATGAAAGATCGAGTGCCTACTCGGCTCCCGTACTTGAGCCACAGCGAGCTCAGCCTCGGGTGCCCAAGCTGCTGCATTGCACGATGCTCATCTCAATTATGTGATTGATTCATGCCCCAACAATAGCCCATCAACTCAAAAAGTCAAAATACTCATTCTCATCAACCGACATGCCCCGCCGTACATTTTTAGCTTCACGCTCCGCGCCATTCAAGCGCAAAAGCGCCGGCGCCTGTTCCCGAAACCCACGCGTCGCTTAACCACAAGCCAATCACCAAACCCAAGGTGCCATGAATAGATCATCTGAGCTCTTCCGAGTAAAAGACAGAATTCCGACACCTCGGAACTGACGTCCTCACTACTGCAAAACAGAGTTTAGCACGACACCCGAATTAGCCCAGCTATCCATCCGCAAGCTTAGCGAGACGCTGTCACTCGCCGACAGCCCGTTCATCTCAACGCGACACGTTCGCAACGAGAACAACCACACACAGCAGACCTCAGTTGCCGATCCCAGCTGCCGAAGACAAGCTGGCCCGTCTACGGCCTCCTTGGCGGACTCCACGACGGACACACCTTTCCATTGCAATCCAACCTCCCTGATTGGGCCATCTGGCGGTGCCCGGGGCACGTGGAGACAATGTGGGAACTTGCCCTTCAGTATTTCCTTAGTGCCCTTCTTCCCCAGGATTGCGGGGAGGAATCTGGGGAATGCGGTGCGGGCGGATACGTGGATGACTTCGGCAAGCAATTCGCCTTCACAGAATGATATGATGGTTGTTGAACTCGTTCACGATGTTTTCTATCGTGAAGATGAGGCTTTTAGAAAGGTCTCGGCATCGCTGATCTCCCGCGCGGAATCAGAAACAAGAGATCATCGCTCTTGCAGACGATGTCACCGCGAACCACAATTGGAGGAGAAGCGAACGCAGCAGCAAACGCAACGACGCAGCATGGTGACAAATTCCTCAGTATTGCAACCCTTTGAGAAAGAAACCTACATCCAATGCCGCAGGCAAAGCAAATCTGGCAGCTGCCACGCCTACCTGCCTGCCCTCTCCCCCGGTCCGCGTCTGCAATCTATGTGATTTACCCCGCAGAAATATCCCATGTCTATTCCCACACACACACTCATGGGTCCCCGGGAAGCGACGAGTTGGAGTGCGCGGAATAGCTTAGAGCTGCAGCCTTTTCGTCCGCGGGTGGAGCTCTATCTGGGTTTGTGAGGGGGAGGGATCTTGGGGGTCGGCACTTATTCGGGAACGGTATTGATGTAACCTCTGCCCTGGGGGTTGATGGGGGTCCTCGCTGGAGGTATTAAAACGGGTATTGCCATCGTGAGTCAAAGGAGAGAGAGGGCGCTTGTTTTGTCGTCGACTTTGAGAGGTTCTTTGGGTTTTGTTCAGAACCTGGAAGTGCCCTTCTTGTTGAGCACACACGGTGTCACGGCTTCTGTCCTGACTCGACAACATCGTGACGCCCATTTTATCCTCGGTTACTGCTGATCGTGCTGTCGAATACCGGCATACGCGCCAGACCGGTCAATTGGCTCGAGGGATAGCCTCCTACGGCCTTAACTTTTCACTCTTGAACCGGGCTAATCGCCAAACTGAGATATTGTGACGACAACACGTCAGCCATCGTCAAAACAGCATCTCCATAATGTCGTCCACCGAGAAAGAAACGCCCAAGGGCACCCACGTGGAAGGCGCCGACGGCATCACCCAAGTCCCCCTCCACGATGGAACCATCTCCAGCGCAGCCGGAAAAGGCCAGGTTGCTACTGACAAGTGAGCATCACCCATGCCTCACCCTCATGAACGCGCCATGCTGACGACTCACCACCAGGTACGGCAACCCCCTGATCGAGTTCGACCCCGTCGCAGAACGCAAGCTGCGCTGGAAGCTCGACCTCTACACCATCCCCACCGTCGCCCTCCTCTACCTCTTCTGCTTCATCGACCGCGCCAACATCGGTAAGCCCAAGCTCCCACTCCCCACTCCCGCCGCTCATCTAACTCAACAACCAAAGGAAACGCCAGAATCGCCGGCCTCGACAAGGACCTCAACCTCAAAGGCTACGACTACAACATCATCCTCTCCACCTTCTACATCTCCTACATCCTCTTCGAGATCCCCGCCACCGTCCTCTGCAAGTGGATCGGCCCCGGCTGGTTCCTCCCCGCCACTTCCCTCGCCTTCGGCATCGTCTCCATCGCCACCGCCTTCTGCGAGTCCCGCGCCGCCATCTGCGGCGTCCGCTTCCTCCTCGGCATCTTCGAGGCCGGCATGCTTCCCGGCATCGCCTACTACCTCTCCCGCTGGTACCAGCGCGCCGAGCTCACCTTCCGCCTGTCGCTGTACATGGTCATGGCCCCGCTAGCCGGCGCATTCGGCGGGCTACTGGCTTCTGCGATTCTGACGCTGGACCACTTCGGCACCCTCCACCGCTGGCGCATGATCTTCGCCATCGAGGGCATCGTCACCATCGCCCTCTCCCTCATCTCCTTCGTCACCCTCACCGACCGGCCCGAGACCGCGCGCTGGCTGACGCAGGAGGAAAAGGACCTGTGCATCGCGCGCGTCAAGTCGGAGCGCGTGGGCACCACGGAGGTCATCGACGGCATCGACAAGAAGAAGCTACTGCGCGGCATGCTCAACCCGGTCACCCTCGAGATCTCGCTCATCTTCCTCTTCAACAACATCACCGTGCAGGGCCTGGCGTTCTTCCTGCCGACTATCGTGAGCACCATCTACCCGACCTTCTCGACGGTCCAGAAGCAGCTGTACTCCGTGCCGCCGTACGCCGTCGGCGCGTTCTTCACGCTGGCGTTCCCGGGGCTGAGTTGGTATCTGGATCGCAGGCAGGTGCTGATTGGGCTGTCGGCGCCGATGGTTATGACGGGGTATATTATGTTTCTGGCGTCAAAGGTAGCGAAGATTCGGTACGCAGCGACGTTTTTGATTGCCAGGTGAGTTTCCACCCTCGAATCCGAGATTTGATATTGCAAGTACTGACCGTATCCCAGTTCCGCTATGGTCCTCGGCCCAATGTCTAACGCGCACATCAGCGCCAACGTCCTCAGCGACACAGCCCGAAGCAGCGCCATCGGCTTGAACGTCATGTGCGGCAATATTGGCGGCATCATCTCCACCTGGTCGTACCTCCCGTGGGACTCGCCCGACTACCACATCGGCAACGGGCTCAACTTGGCCGCGGCCAGCATGATCTTCATCGTCGCCTTCACGGCATGGTTCTGGATGAAGTGGGACAACAAGCGCCGCGAAGACCGCAGCATCGAGGAGCTGGCGGGCATGTCGGAGCAGGAGATTCAGGATCTAGATTGGAAGCATCCTGCGTTCAGGTGGAGGACGTGAGGTGGTTTCGTGGAGGGACGGGTGAGATGGTATTAATCACAATAGCATCCAAGACTAAATGAACTGCACCGTTCCAGAGCATATTATCACGTCCCAGTTTAGTGGACTTCGATCCATTTATTATAATTGAGGCATGAACGAGCTGTTTCTGCAGATATGTCCGATAACACACTGGGTCCTTCTCACCCCACCAATTAAAAATGGTTTTGGTCGAGTTTTATTCCAAAGCCCCATGGACGAGGCACCATACATCGTCCGCTTGGGGTCTCCCAGTTTTGGTGGCATGCAACACTTCCGGAGTGGCAGTGGTGAGAGATAGTTCTGGAATTCCCTAGTGAAGGTGTTGGCTTGCTTGAGCCGTGAGATAAGCGTGATCCTCACAAATCCCTGGATATCTTCGTCGTCTGAATCTGATCCTGGCTCCTGCTCAGGCACTCTTGACTTTGATGTGTGTCCGTGACTGGTTTCCCGAGGTGTTTGTTTTGCTATGGAACTTAGCTTATCGCCCGTTTCCAGAATTCTCGTGAAGAGCATATTGCACTTTTGGCTTCTACGGGTTAGCTCATATCGTCGCCAAAGGCAGCTTTTAGCGTTTCGCTTTGCACTCACCATTGTACTTCGAGGCCTGTATTGCATAGGGATACAGTCATGCACTTCGGACAACTTGATGACCTTTCCCGCAGGGTGACATCGCTTGCTTCCCTACAGATCATGCTCATATCAATCCTTTGATACGGTAAAAAAGCGCTTTCCCAGTCTAGCGATCGTTCCACTTCTCGGCCCGTATCCCGCTCTTGTAACTTATAGCGGCCACTTCGCGTTCGATGAGCGCCCTTCTTGCCTTTGAACCGATCGTTGATGATGAACTCGAAAACTTCCCACGATGTAATCGTCCTCAGGTGGATTGGAAAGACCTTTCCCGTGGCATCCTCGAAGATGAAATGTTCATCGCTCAAAGGTCTCTCTAGTCTCATCAGGACAGCTCTAATTCGAACTAGGTCCCCTGAGACAGAAAGCACCATAGAAATAATCTGAGATGTCGAACTCTTCAAGTCCATTGCTAGGTGAGACATGGATTCAAGTCTTGAGAGGACTCGCTGCCCAATCGCTCCCACGTATTCCCTTAGTGACTGATTGGAGTTCTGGACGATGGCCGTCGTGCGTTTCTCGCTGTCGGACATCTGTTTGATAGTTGCATGATGGGTTTGCCTGAAAACACTCCTAAGATAAGTCAGTATTGTCGCTGAAAGAGTACGTGTAAAGAAATTGCACCCAAGCATACAATGTCGTGAGCTCCAACAACGTATTCATCGCCATTGTGTGCCCCAATAGTTCCCAACGAAACTTCTCAACATCCTTCTCCTCGAGCTTCCATTGGACTTTCCGGGCGGCATCTCGGAAGGTGTTCTTCGTCTCTGCCAGGCTAGGCCTGAACTTCTCGATTTTGCTGTTAAAGTCTGCAAGACATCGCTTGATCTGCTCAACATTGCGCAACGCTATCGCTCGTAGCTCGCCGAGAGCACTTTGTAGATCTTGATCATGGTAAACTTTCTCGATCTGCCGAAGCGTGCTTTCAAGGATCCCAAGGCTCTGAACAACGTCTCGATATGCTTTTGTCGAACCACGAGAATCGTCTAGCGCGGCGATAATGTTCTTGATAAGTTCCAAGACTGCGATGAAGTCGCCCACAGCACCGAACGCAAGCGTGAACTCCATTGAGGACACCCCGACACGAAAGTGACTACTTGTTCGAGCAACGGCTTCGAACGATCGGGGCGACTTAAGCAGGCGGCGGATGGGGTTGTTCATGTCGGTGAGAGAAATGGAAGAACCCCGCAGAGACTTGGCACAGCCACTGCGAGTTGAATGTGTGTCAGACGAGAGACGATTGGCCCGAAGAAGCACACAGGGCTAGGCGTCACGCTTTCATCACTTGTTTCCCGCCAACGGATGCTGAAGATTAATTTGTTCAAGGCAAGATTGAAGCTCCATAATGCACAAACGGCGCCCAAAATGACGGCATCTTCACTCCTCGCACTCGGCACAGCCTCCCTAACGCCGACGCCACAGCCCGGTCATCCCATGCCGTTCCGCCTCCTGACAGCTTCGAGTAAAATATTCTGGCAACCGTTACACGCGTTTTGTCGTCGGACAGCCAAAGACGGCCCACAACTTGCGGGAACGGGCAACTTGAAACCGGCTCATCACATGAATCATCTAATCTGCCAAACCTGTCGCTCTGTTTTCTGCTGTCGAGCAGGCAGACAGGTGAGCCACAAGCGCATTGGCTAGATTCAGCTCCGACACCATGTACACCGTGAGGCGATCTTTCTCTTCTCTTTCCTGATAATATTTTCTCAAGATGAGTCCACTGCTGGAATGGTCCCGTTGATTCGAAAATCCGTGGCATGCCAAGTGGGCGATGCTACACTTCTTCAACGTCGAAATCACCTCCATTGCAGTCGGCACGTTCAGCAGTCTCACGTGTAAATGACCCTCCGCTATGTTTTTCACATCTTTCTTCATCCATCGCCCAATAAGGCGCCATGCGCTTTTGCGCGCTTTTGCATCTTTCTGACTGTCTGCGAGAGCCTTGACAGACGGAGCATAAGAAGAAATCACCCGGCTTAGGGTATTCTCAGTTGAGCCACGGTGATGTTTGATCGCCCAAGGGCCAGTACAAAGTTGCACAGGCCGGTTCCAATCCCCCAGACACCCGGTAATTCAGTTATTAGATCTTGATTGCTGTAAATCTCATCGAGAATCTTCTTCACGCAGATCTCCAATAGCCATGGCAAAATTGCACGCATTCTTTGTTTCTCTCAGCCCACTCGAACCTTGTTCCCTTCCATTGCTTCTCTAGGCATGCCCAAATGTCAGTATTTTCGACATCTTAGATGAACCGGGTTGATTGTATTGAAATTTTCAGACGACATTAGAATAGCATCACTGTAACACTCAGCGAAGTTTACGATAACGACGATGCCATCTTCAGCGCATTTCTGCATCTACGCAACAATCTAGCCAAGCGAGAAATTCCATAGCCCGGCAGTTTCCCGGTCCCCTGATAAAAAAATAATTCAGTCCAGCAAGAGCTTCAAAGCGGGGTTGCTTTGCTTCGTCTGCGCCATTTTCCGACTCAAGCGACGAGGCAGGTGTGAAAAGGACTCCGCGTCGTCGAATTTAGTTTTGCGACGCCCACGATTCCCAACTGAGTTTCAATTGACGCCCCACTACCCTGGAGAAAGCTGGCTGTATGAGACCTAGCTCTGTGATATGTGATACCAACAGTGACAACTGACCTGTTGGCGCGCGCCAACAAGGGGCGCGGAGATTGGGGCCCATACGAATCCGAAATGAGAATGGCGTATCTGGGACTGATCCTAGATGTGCGCGGAGCCTTGCCTGATCAAGATCGCAAGCTGTAGATATCGGACCATCAACTCCATACTGAGTCAGTATTTCTTCGGGCCAAGGGTTAGATCGGGTCTCCTGCATTTCAGCTGTGTCAAATTGCGTGTGGTTAGTTGGTATGCATGAGCTGCGCCACACCCTTCGCAAATGAACCAACAGACTGAACCAACAGACTGAACCAGCAAGACCCAGTGGGCCTTGGTTACTATAACATGAGGAAGATAAAGATGCCATTTTTCTCCGGGGAAAGTCTACTTCCCTTGATGACAGTCAGCTCGCAGCTATTTGCAACTCGTGCAGACTCTTACAGACATGGCTCAAGTCACCCTCGATCCTGGAGCTCTCGACGAGTTGAACTCCTTCGAAACTCGCGCCTTATTCGATACTACCGACAAGCTTTCCTCTCTTGGAATTGGCAGGATTGTCAACCTCCCTCAGATAATCGTCGTTGGAGATCAGTCGTCTGGAAAGTCATCTGTTCTTGAAGCCATCTCCCATGTCAAGTTTCCCGTCAGCTCGGGCTTGTGCACGCGTTTTGCTACGGAACTAGTTCTCCGGAACGGCAGCCAACGACGCGTCAAGGCCACCATTCAGTTCCACAACGATGTTAAGCCTGCGCAGGAAATGCGAGTCGACTATTCTGAAGGAGAGGATATTGGCAAAATCGTCGCCGCCGCTAAAGAGCACATGGGCCTCACAGATTCCAACAGAGGATTTTCTAAGGACGTCCTTCGTCTGGAGGTTGAAGGCCCGAATCTGTATCCTCTCAGCCTAGTCGATCTGCCCGGAATCTTCCACACTGCGACAGCGAAGCAATCAGCGGAGGGTAGAACAACGGTCATGGAGCTGGTAGAAAGCTACATGAAAAAGCAAAACAGCATCATCCTCGCCATCATATCAGCGAGTAATCAGCTTGCTAACCAGAGAGTCCTGGAGGAGGCCGCGAAACACGACCCCGCTAGAGAGCGTACACTTGGGGTCATTACCAAGCCAGACCTTCTCCATCCAGGATCTCCCGACGAACTCGAATATCTTCAGGTAGTCAGAGGCCGCGAGGCGGTGCACAACCTGCAATTGGGATGGCATGTGTTGCGTAACCTTCCAGACTACGCCAAATCTGAGGCGCATCCTGACTCTCGTGACGCAGTCGAAAAAGCGTTCTTCGAATCCGGGGTTTGGGCTTCCGTCCCGGTAATTCATCGGGGCATATCTGCCCTTCGGAAACGTCTCAGCCATATTCTTCACGACCATATCAAGAAAAGTCTGCCTGGTGTTCTTGAAGAGATTCAAGGGAAGCTCTCTGAGCATGAGGCTGAGCTCGCACGCTTAGGGCAGGCCAGATCCAGTGCCGCCGACATGAGGGCTTATCTCGTGGACATCGCGGGAGGGTTCGAGAGACTTGTCCGCGATGGTATTCAGGGTCATTATAATGATCCATTTTTCGGCGGCTTTGATGGTAGTGATCGAAAGTTGCGATCTCACTTAAGAAGTTTCAATCGAGCTATTCGTCACATCCTCCTTGTGCAGGGGTCATCGCAGAGGATTACCACTGGCACTCCTGGTGCGACGAGACAAAGAAGCATTCCTCTGCATCTTCAAGAGTTCCTCAGCAAGTATCCATACGATCTTCCTATGCCAGAACCAATCACTTGGTCCGAGATGGCCACTCAACTGGAGCGGCAAGCGGCCGCAAACCAGGGCACCGAGTTTCCCGGATATGCCAGTACGAACTTGATCTTGCAGCTTTTTCAGAGACAGTCGAAGCCCTGGGAAGCCATTGCCAGGGTGCATTTGGAGAAGGTCACCGCTGTTGTGAAGGCCTTCGTGGACGACGTGTTTGAGCACGTCGCTGGGCCCTTGGGCACCTGCAGTACCACTTCCACTATTCTGTCGACTTGCGTCGATCCTTTCTTCGATGCAAGAGAGGAAATCCTCCAGAACAAATTGCGGGAGCTTCTCCGACCTCTTCAGGAGGGGTATGCGCTACCTCTCGATGCTGACTTTCAGGAAGCTATGGACCATAGAACATCTGATCGGGTTTCAGAAGACGCGGTAGACGACTCATACGACGGTAGCTCAAGCGCCTTGCAATATTCGAAAGAAGAACTCCCACATCAATGCAATGAGTTTGGGACCGGGCGGGCCATCGAAACAATGCAGACATTCTACGACGTACGTACTCTTTTTTGTTAATGTAATCAGTCGTAGACTTGCTGACTTGGCTTAGATGGTGTTGCGCACATTCACCGATAACCTGATCAATCTGGCGTTAGAGAGTTGTCTCATACAGGAGCTTCCAGGAATTTTGACACCGAAATCTGTGAATGAAATGGATGACACGAGGTTGGCGGAGCTCGCGGCCGAGTCAGAGGACATTCGGGCGCGCCGCACACAGCTGCAAACCGATATTAAGCTGCTCAAGCAGGGCCTGGACCAGTGCCGCCGGTACAGACCCAGAGGCTTGACGGGTGAGAATAGTTCAATGCCTTCAGCACTGAAAGACCATGTCACATTAACATCTATTTCCTCAGTTCAACGCAACATCCCTTCGAAGAGTATCCAGTGGGAAACTGCTGGGGGATTGCCCACGATCGGTAAGCAGTATCCTACTACTTCAAGATGAGAAGCTTGATGCTGAATGCCAATGATAGCTACACCTCACGGCCAACAGACGTGGCTAGGATTCATACCAAAAACAGTTCCCATCGTCACAACACCCACAGAGAGGGAAAACTCAGCCGAGTCTACTCCAATTTCGAAGAAGAAGAAACAAGACCCAGTAGTCGGGTTAGGTTCCTCCGAAAGCTACGCAAAAACTGCAACCAATCCTGAGAAAGTCTCTCCGACTGAGAACAGCGGACCTTTTGGCTCCAGTTTCAGAAAGCCCGCCGGGTATAGTGACGGGTCTATCAACGTCTTCAACCAAGTCTCAAGCCAGCCTCAATCAAAACTTGGGACAACCTTCAATTTTGAAAAGGGATTCGGAACAAAGGAAAGCATACAACCCAACACGAGCCCTTTTGGCGGGTTCAAAACGAGCCGCTCGGGTGGCTCCAATGGTTTTGCGTCTCAAAGCGGCGCCGGGACGACTTGGCTGTTTAACTCCAGCGGGAAAGACGCAGCCAAAGTTCAGGGTGAGAAAACCAGCACTCGGACTGCATGACGGTAGTTTGAAGCTTTCATTACCGGCTAACCTCCGGAAAGGCGGCGAGAAATCTACAGAAGCAACCGCCTTAATCAATAAGAACCCGGGAAGGTTCATTGCTACATGGACTGGCCATGAACAGCCTGATAGAGGGGCATTTGCCGGCCGGGAGACGCTTAGCCACATTTGCACTTCGGAAACCTTTAAGAATTTTTCTCCTGAAGAGCTTAGGCTAGGAGATTGTTGGATACTTTCGTATCCTTGGCCAGATGATAAGCGGCCGCCGCGCAGTGTATATTAGGAAATAGATGCATGGTCCATATCTGTTTACTTCTATTCCATGGATTGACACGCTTGACTTCATGGGCCCAAGAGCATCTCCACCCCATCTGAACTGCTGACTCTTCAAGGAGAATCGCGACTGGAGCTACGCATCAGCTCATTCCTCTCGTGAAAATTCGTAGCAGCAAAACCTCGGACTTAATTGAACACGTGGCACAGTCAGCATAAAGGTAATGCATAATGCCTATCGCCACAAGAGCTGATCTATGCTTCAATGTAACCCTTAGGACGATGGTAGACAGAGAGATACTGATGAAACAGCCTAGACCGAGCACGAGCTGGACATCTGCCTTTGGTGGTGAGGCAACACGAAGGGTGCAACCAAATTTGGCTACGCCTAGCGCATTACTCATCGCAAGTGCTATTTCGCAAGTGGTATGGGTTCATCTTAGCTTTTACCTCATAAACATCCATAATGCAGCCAGCACCAATCTTCGCATTCAATTTCAGAACTCATCAGCTTATTTTCCAGACAGTCACCGCAAGCTCGATATTCAGTTGCTGATAACTGCTTACTGTCATTTTTCGTAACCCAGCACCATTTTTAATGAATCGTTCAAAAAAGCGTTGACCTATCACTTGAGTCCACCGCTTGTTCTGGGGCTCGGGTCGAGGTTTCATCAGCACAGCCAGGGGTTGTCATGCGCTGACTGTGCGTGTATGCATCAGACCTGCATGGAAGTTCCGGAACGTTGCATAGGGAAGCCCTTAGACTCTCAGTAAGCAGCATATTCCGCGCCTCAGTGTGCGCATACTGGACCAAAGAATCGTTTAAACTTTGGCCGAAGTCTCGCAGCCTTGGGGCCACTCAGAGCTGCGCAATCAAAGCGAAGGGCAATGCGCAGGGCTTTGCTGCATATCGCTCAAAAAATAAAGCCAAACCGTTTTATTTCCCGAGTCAGCCGGACTCCAGAACATCGTCAATCGTCGGTAACGTTTGATGATTAAATTGAGAGGAAACGTGACACTCACATTCGAGCGAGTCAATGCGATGCCTCCGAGGCCCTGGGTGGTCAATACCTACATATTAACAGCCTCATGCTTTCTGAGATCTTCCTCGAGTGCCCATCCTCTCATTTTGCACCCAGAGACAAGACACCGCTGTAAAGATGAAGCTATTTCTTCCCTTGTTTATGTTTGCGGCGGCGGCCTATGCCGCAAGTCCCGAGACATTGATGGAGTTCCAAATGGATCTTCGTGACCCTTACAACCCTTTGACTCTCAGAGGCCACCCGCCCGACTGTGGTGACGAAAACGAGGGTGAGAACGGCGGGCCTGTCGGCGACAATGGCGGATCTCCTAGCCCGGGTCAAGGTTCGAGTGGTAGATACAACGTCTGCTGTCGGTACAATGGTCAACACAATAAATGCGTAAGTCACTCAATGATGACGTCGCGTACTGTATTTTGCGGCTAATACGTGGTGTAGATCTGCTTGGCTCGGTGCAGGGCGGTTCGTATCTCAAAATAGGCATGTTTAAAGATCCGTTAGCTAATGTTGACCCAGGACTGCAACGCAGGAATTTGTTTGATGTGAATGTCACTCAAGTCCGGTGCGCTAATGGAAACATACATATTCTGAGATGGAGTAGACGATCAACGACAAAGTTTTTACACACCGGATGAGCATTTACTTAGTTCCATATTTCGTTCCTATTGTACGGAGGGGTCCTTGACAGGAATGTCAATTTAATGGTTCGGGGGGAGCATGTACGACCTATATACCCAGCTTCAATTTGGAAAAAGATTTCATTTGATACATTTACTGTGGTTTGAGTAACCGTAGCAGCTCTATTGGCATCGAAGCCCAGCCTCATAAAACCAATTTCGAAATGTTGCGTTCGGCAACATAGCATGAAATCCACCGCAGTAGCTAACGCAGAGTAAGGTACAGATGTAGGTAAGCCTCGTGAACCATTTGATGTATGCGCCACAGCTTAAAGGTCTCGAGCGCGCAGCTCGATACCGGCCTGATGCGCTGTCTTTGTTTTGGCAAATTTCCATGCGAGAATACGGCGCTCGAATAGTTCATCAAGCTCTTGATATGTGCGCCCCTTGGTCTCAGGATAGAGCAGAACACAAGGGATCAGGTATACAAAGGTAATGCCTCCAAAAAAGAGACCAATCTTTTGCTGCCAGCCAGCGTACTGATTTGAAAGCATCAACGGCACAGTGTAGTTCTACTCTGGTTAGGCTTGGATGGGAAAGAAAACGACAAGGTGTAACGGTATGACATACAAAAATGATACCCGTGATGTACTGAACGGTTACAGCTAGTGAAGTTGTCTTTGCCCTCAACTTCGGACTTGAGACCTCGACAAGTGAGATCCATCCTAGAAATGTCAGCATTTGATCGATCCCAGAAGGTTAAACTAAAGACAGGCTCACCGATTGGAGCCAGTGAGTTGGCATACAGGAACGCCCAGATACCGCATAGAGCAATCAGTACAGGACCAGACGCCGAGGTGGGTTGCATAAACCCCAGGCCGCCGACGATGAAGCAAATGACCATCATGCCGAAACCCCCTCCGAGAACCAGGGTGCGGCGACCGACCTTGTCAACCATGTAGAACGACAAGATCATCCCGACCAGAAGAATGGCGTTGATGACGATTTTGCCCAAGAAGGGATCTTCGACGTTTGCCATGGAGAAGAAATATGTTGTGTAGCCAAACATGAGAGGCACGCCAACAACATTCTGAAAGGTCAGGGGCAGGGTTGAGATGATGGCACGCTTGAGGTTGATTGGAGTCATGAGGGCTTTCCAGTCACTATCGCCGCCGAGGGACTGGGAAAGGGCGATGGACTGATCGATTTCATACCGCATGACAGCGTATTCGTGTTCAACGTCGCAACCCTCGACGTCTCCAACGAGTTTGCGGAGGGACTTCTTGGCTTCTTCGTGCTTCCCCTTGGAGGCATACCAGGCTGAGCCTAGTTAGCCATGGCCCAAAACTGCTCCCGGATGGCTTGAAACGTACCTGGTGACTCCGGTAGGAAAAGCATCGGCATGATCCAGAGTCCACAGAACACAAACTCCGAGTAGAAGATGTTTTTTAAAGTGCATGGGGTTGGTGTCCTCGAGGATCTTGAGTCTGATGGCAAGGAAAACTTGACCCAACGAGAAGGCGAGGGAAAAGCTGCCCAATAGCGCGCCACGGAACTGAGGCATTGCAATCTCGGACATGTACACCATGACAGATGTTCCCATCATACCACCGGCACAGCCTGCGATCAGTCGAGCGACAAGAAGGACGGTCCAATTCTTTGATATAATGGCTACTATGATGGACTTTTGTTGTTAGTCTTTGTCGGTTCTAGAGGTGTGGACAATGATTGTTTACCAATGTCAGGAAGAACGTGACTCCCCACATGTTGAACTTGCGCCCGAAGCGATCCGCTGTGTGGGGAGCGATGAGCTGAATGGCGATGGCAGTGACGAAGAACATGGAGCTCCATAGGGATACATGGTTGGCGTTGAGAGCCGGTTGGCCAGTCTTCGGATCTCGAACGGTAGCGAATTGCTTGATGAAGCCTTCGTTGGCGACGATGCTTCCGACTACCGAATTTGCATAGCCTGCGTACCTGGAAGGAAGTCTCAGCGTGTCTGGTTTGTGAATTCATGGGGAGTAAACGGATATTCCCGCAAGCGACACAGAGAGGCCGCAGGCGTAGAGTCTCCAGAACTTCTTGATACATTTCGCCCTACCCCAGTCGGCAAATGCAGAGGTGATGGGTGTTACCTCCGCACCCTCTTTCGAGATGCCGGCTTCATGGTCCATCTCGGCTGCTTCCTCGAGATAGTCGCCATTCGGCTTCTCGGCTATATGAGCACCGTCGCGATCTTGTGTCATTTGTTGTTGACAGAAAGCGAATGAAGAGAGTGAATGACAATTCAAGACAGCGGCAATGAATGACCACGAACAGTGTAAGAAGAAGCACAAGAGTTCAAGGCTCAGAAGTTGAGTAGTCGCAAGTTCCGACGTTTTGGAAAGTCCGGGGATGTGGGGTGGTTATGAAGACCAACCCTGGGGAAACAGGTTCCCTGGAGATCGCGGGGACCTTGAGCCACGACGCTTAATGTTACCATAAATGGTCAACACTGACCAGAGCATTTTTAGAATCATGTCACATTACACCCATGGATATGAGAATAGCGTGATTTCTGGGGTCCAGAAATATGTCCCGGCCTCTCGACCATGCCCGATCCCTGACACCACAGGGCAAGCCCACCTCACTTCATCCACTTCGTTGATGATGGCTCAAGATGGTTGGCCATTGCAACGTGAGCAGACCGGCCTTTAGCCGAACATTTCCAAAAGCCCGGCACTCGTTTCTATAGTTCAGCCGTACTTACCCCATGTGCTCGGTAAATGGACCGTCCTGACGTTTAAGCAGTCGGTGTGGACCAAAATGGATGTTTAGCCCCGGGAAACCATCGGCCGATGACCGGCCGACCACCGGCCGATCGTTATCCGGTCTCCGCAAAGTGCACTTTCTCGAGATAAATCCACCTGTTCGATTCACCTGTAGCTCACATGACGCCTAAAAGATCATGGGTACTCAGTTCATACCCCTCATTATGACGCAATGATAGTTGGTAGCTAATATTGCGCTTCGTATTTGGTGGGGCATATGGGAGCAAGTGTGCCCATTTGGAGCCGCGGTGTATTTCAACTCAAACATCAGTCGTATCGCCTAACCCCCAAGCTCACGGCATGTTTGAAATCGCATTCTCTTACTCGAAGCATATTCTTTCAACACAACATGCTTAAGCCACAGGCTAACGCTATTCGAGAACTCATCTCACTTGACGGGGTCTGGAACTTCGCCTTGGAACCTTCAACACAGCCGCAGCCGAAAGCGTGGGAGCATGATTTACCACACCAGCTCCAAGTCCCTGTACCAGCCAGTTACAACGACATTCTCATCGATCCAAAGATTCGAAACCATGTCGGATGGGTATACTACCAACGTCACGCAACGATTCCTCGAGCGTGGTCTGGAAGGCGGTATGTCCTTCGTTTCGATGCCGCCACCCATCGGGGCCGTGTCTACGTGAACGATCAATTCATCACTGAACACATTGGTGGATATACGCCATTCGAGGCGGATATCACTGATGTTGTGTCGCCGGGGCAACAGTTCCGTTTGACTGTTGCTGTCAGCAATGAGTTGGACTGGACGACGATCCCTCCAGGCAGGATCGAGATCGAGGACGGGAAGCGAAAGCAGCACTATCAACACGACTTCTTCAACTACTCTGGACTTGCTCGATCTGTGTGGCTATACTGTGTCCCACAGATACATATTTCTGATGTAACCGTCAACACCGACGTCACCGAAGGGGGAAGAGTTGGTATCGTCAACTTTGAGATCAGCACCAGCCAGTCGATACCGGACTCCAAAGTCAATGTGTCACTTGCAGATGAAGACGGCAAGGTGGTTGGAAAAGCATCTGGGACGGCCGGAAAGGTAGTGGTGAGCTCGGTCCATCTGTGGCAGCCGGGAGCAGCATACCTATATCAGCTTCGCATTCACCTTGTCAACGACGAGGGTCGTGCCGAGGATACGTATCATCTTCCCGTTGGCATAAGATCGGTCGAGGTGAGAGACAACCGGTTCTTGATTAACGACGAGCCCTTCTATTTCCGCGGGTTTGGGAAGCATGAGGATACCCCTATTCGAGGCAAAGGCCATGATGCCGCCTACATGATCCATGACTTCGAGCTGATGAAGTGGATCGGAGCCAACTCATTCCGCGCGTCGCACTATCCCTACGCAGAGGAAGTGATAGAGTATGCGGATCGTCATGGAGTTGTCATCATCGACGAAACGGCTGCAGTTGGCTTGAACCTGGCAGTGGTTGCCGGCCTTCACGGATCGAAGCAATTACCAACATACTCCCCTGACACGGTCAGTGACGAGACGAGGAGGTCACACGAGCAAGCTATCAGAGAACTCATCGACCGCGATAAGAATCATCCCTCAGTCGTCATGTGGGTCATTGCCAACGAGCCGGCGGCACATGAGCCTGGAGCCAGGGAGTATTTTGAACCGTTGGTCGCGCTTGCTCGTCAGCTCGACTCCCGTCCGATTTGCTATGCCAACGAATTCCAAGCAAGCGTCGACAAATGTCTCATTTCCAGCCTGTTCGACGTGCTCTGTCTCAATCGCTACTACGGCTGGTATCTGCACACGGGCGACCTCGAGGCTGCTGAGACCAATCTCGAGAAGGAACTGCTTCAATGGCAATCAAAGTTCAACAAACCCATCGTGATGTCAGAATATGGTGCCGACACTCTTGCTGGGCTGCACACTGTGGGTGATGTTCCGTGGAGTGAGGAATACCAGAGCCGCGTATTGGAAATGAGCCACAGAGTCTTTGATCGGATAGACAGTGTTGTCGGGGAGCACGTGTGGAACTTTGCCGACTTTCAGACCCCGTCAACCTTCATCTTCCGCGTGGACGGGAACAAGAAGGGTGTGTTCACGAGAGATCGGAGACCGAAGATGGCAGCGCATGTGCTTCGAAAGCGATGGACAGGAAGTTAGCGACACACAGCGAAAGAATCCTTGCCCCTGGCAAATGTTACGAAATCAATGTATCTCCATCATGATGGGTCATGAAGCATGTGTGGCCAACTTCAATTGCTATTCTGAATGGCGCGGAGACCTTTCAAGCCTCTTGGACTAGATCTAATTGGCATTTGCTTGACTAACGAGGCAATAAACAAAACACGTTATCTTTCAGTGAAGTCATATGGCATAACCAAATCATCAGAGATACTTGCGTACAAAGTCTGAGATCTGACAAAATCCCGAGTGCGTTTCGATTTAGAATGGTGACTCGGATACTTGAGCCACCGAATCTCGGTCTTCTTCCACGCAGCCTATATGTCATTCAGCTACATCAAACCTGCTGGCTTGGAACTTGGCCTTGTCGGTTCACACTTCGATCGAATGCGCCAATGATGAGGCAGATCAGGTTCTGTGTGTCCTCTTGAAGGATCTCACTGTCACTGTTTGCGATTAGTGACACAATTTGCCCGTCTTCGCATGTGGATAACTGGTCCGATTGACCGGGCAAAAGTTCTCTGCCCTCAACTGCGGGCTTGGATGTGCTGTCATTACCCAGGGTTTGGTTGTTTGCAACCTTCTCATGTTATGCAGACAGCTATTTCCGGCCTCGAGGTCAGCACTTCGGTGTACATTTACCCCTCTTGGACAAACGGCGCAAACACCCTGGTATGTTTGCACAGCCGAGCTTCGCCTACAGGCGATGATTATGGAGTGTCGGATCCCGCCGACTCGAGTCAATCTTACTCGTCAAAGTCATTGTATCCATGGTAGGTGATAAGATTAAAATCGCTGTAGTGAATGAATTTATTGTTTCGTTGCGCCATTGTTGCCACGAGGCTGCCACCACGAACCCACGAGAACAGGCTTTCGCATGATCCTTCAATGTTGATACGTCAAATGAGCCTGCGATAAGGAGCATCACCCATAAGTCCTAGTGATTCGTTCGCATGCTCAATCCAGATCGTCTATCGAGTCCAAGCCCTGGACTCCCCCCCTCGGCGAATCCCACGTGGCGTTGTCATTTACATCTTATCCGGCCTCGCCATGGGGTCGAGTCTTGTTTGATTGTTTGCTTTTCGTTTGCAGATCATCCGTGCTCTCCATACGTCCGTAACCACGCAGCATGCAGGCTCCAACAGGCAGCTCTCCACAGCACGGATTGCCGTCAGGCACCTGACATGCCAGCACAGTTCCTGTTTCCAACGTTTCTGTGCTCATGCCAACCACTTTCCACGGCGTTTGATGGGACCCCTCGACGACCTGGGCTCTAATCAGCCAACCGCCTGTCAACCGAGATTCTGGGCAGATGCACCCGGTCATTTGGCTCACTTGCCAAGTAATTTGCACCCGCTCTTTGGGGCGTTCTGATTGCCCCCTTCCTCAACGCAGAACCAGGCCACGGGCAGCTGAATGAATGGGTCAGCATACATATCCGCCTCAAAGGGAACCCCATTGTTCGTCGAGCGTCATGGCCGAGATGGGTGCGGGTGACCACATAACAAAATGGTGATGGTCGTCCTGCCAGAGACACCTGGCGGTGTTCTAATTTTCAACTCGCTTTCTGCGCCTTCGCCAACACCTTGGCTTCATCGGTTCCAAAGTTCATTCCATTGTTTGTGCGACTGATCTTGCATATCGACACTCAGGTGGCAGTTTCTTCTCACCGCCAGTCGCGCCTAGCGCTCAACACAACAAGCCAGCCACCTCTGCATAACACCTCCAGACGATGTCGGTCAAGGGGTCTGAGGCATGGAGGGCCGAGGACAAAGGGCCGGAGATGCTATGGGTCTGTTGGACGATGGCTGGGTTGACAACAGTTTTCGTCTTGGCGCGAGTCTGGTGTAGGCGGAGGATTGGGAGGACGTTCTACAGCGATGACTACTGCTGCATCCTATCATTGGTATGTGCATCTATTGGGAGCTTGGGTCCACATGTGGTCTCTTCTTCGAGGATGGCGAGATTGTCTTCGCACTGACACTGGTTCATCATAGGCTTGTATACTTGCGTCTTGTGCAGCTGCTACCGGTGCCATCAGCTATGGTTATGGCAGGCATAAGGATGTACTCACATATGAGCAGAGGAAGGGTGCCATCTTCTGGTCACATGTGGGGTTTGCTCCGGGAATCATGTCTTTCGCGATTCCGAAACTCGCGGTTGTCTCATTATTAACGCGGTTAATGAACCCAAGGCGATATCATCTTTGGTTTCTCTGGGGTATCACAATTCTGTGTTTACTAACACACATCGCCGTCCCCGGCTTACATTTCGGTCG